CTCCTGAAAAGTAGCAGGATTTGATTTTTAGAAGAAAGCAAGTGATGACCTGTAAAAATGTTATGTGTGTAAATGTGCTATACTTCGAGCATATAAGCCTATTTAATAACCTTTTGAACTTGAAAAAGGATGAATCTTTGTGTGGGTAGTATGTTCATTTAATTAACCGTGAAGTGAATCTTCGCTGCAGTGAAATTTCTTTTGGGTATATGTTCTCACGGCTTAGCATTCCTTTACTGTTGTGAAACCACCTTTACAGGGGCTATATGCGGGCTGATATACATCTATTCGTTCATCTCGAATACTTCAAAATTTTCAATAATTTAAATTGTAACTGAAGCAAATTTGGATACTGTAATATTCATTTGAATATTCGAAGCATTCAGGTATTTGCACGAACCTAGTACTGATACGTACCAACTAGCTCAGCTCTAAAGTTTTAAATAATTAGTTTTAAATAAATTACTTGTAGTCCGGAATGTTGCCAGAATTTGTAGCAGCCTTCCAAACAGTCAGTCCATGTTTCATTCATATTTGTCCTATCGCTACAGGTTAATGAAAGTGAAGTGAGTGTTTGCAGAAAAGCTACATTCCTCAGCTACAGAGGCGAAATCACCTCTGTTTGACTTGTCCCATGGTTTTTGGGCATTAAAGTGACTGCTGCATTAGGTTATGCTTTGTAAATTTCAGTTTTTAAGCAGTGCTAGCCACCATGTATTGAAGGGATGCTGAAGGCAAATAATTTGTCTACACTGATTTGAGGTTATCTTAAATGTTTGTTCAGTGAAGTGTCGGCGATGTGATTGCGGCTCGTACGGATGTCAAAGTGATAACGAATGAGATTCATGTCACTAAGATATTACTGTATTATCGTTGTTCCTCAGTACTTTGTACTGGTCACAAAACTTCGGGCCGAGTTTTGTATGGGGACAAAGCCTCCCTCCAGCGGCGCCACTGCAGACAAGGGGACTTTCATTGCAGCCGCTTATACGGCACATTTCTGGTGCATTACGGCGTTTTCGTGCTGCAGACTTGCTCTGATGGCTTTATGGACATATCTCAGTGGGGTTTCATATTCTGGTCTCGTATCGCTTACAAGCGGCATACCTGCGCGCAGCAGTAAATGTGCTGTTCGTGTGCGGCAGTGTTCCATTCCTTTCGGTCGTGACAAAATCTGCATGCAGCCTCGTGCTGCTCACTGATTTAGCAAACATTGTTTGGTTTTGCCTTTTTGGTGTTTTTATTTTATTTGTATTTTATTTTATTTTTATTTATTTTTTCGAGGCTATAGCTGATGTTAACCGAAGACCCAAGACAAACACTGCCAGTACACAGCCATGTGTACCATTGGAGATGGGAGTGTGTCACGCCTCTTCACCGAGAAACGTGCTGACGTACGCAACTAGCACGATGATGCTTTTTCGTGATTATGTGCCGACGCTTCGAAAAAAATACTTACGTAGCCTGAACTCTTCAGGGTATGAATGATAGAGTTAAACATTAATTTGGGTACATTACTATGTGGAACTACGCTCCGCGTAAGAAATGCCATGTTAGGGGAAAAAAATTGTTGATTGCCTGTACGTCACTAAGTTGTTTGTTTCGGGCAGACTGCATGTACAATACTGTGTAGTGAATATCACTGAATATGTGGTAGGTTGGCATAACTTCCAAAATCTCCCGCATTTCGACCAGTTGTTACGTTTGTATGGTTGTCAGGAAACTTTTCCGGAAATTGAAATTTCTGTGCGTGATCTGGCTGCATCGCCAAAAATGCTGCCCAGTCCAATCTGTTTTTTTTTTTTTTATTTTTTTTTTACGAACCCATCACATTTTATTGTAAATTAATTTATGAGGCATTCATTTAAACGTGCATTGGGTCAAATTTCGGACGTTCCTAGCTCTTTTCTCGTCGCGGTGGTAATATGAACTTCAGTGTCTGGGGGGGGGGACTGTGGAATGAAGGCCGGCAGCAGCGTGCTCAAAGCTTTGAAAGGACGGGCGCGGCCAGCGCATGCACCGTCAGAACTGCGGTTATTGTTTGGTATAATCACTTTGAATGAAACTGCGGTCGCTCTTGACGCATTCATGTGTGGCGACGACGTAACCTGCAGAAACCCAAAAGGGCACGCGTGTTCAACGCTCGATTAGTTAAAGCGACGTTGCTTTCCACGAACACTGTGAATGAAATCGCGGCAGATGTAATGACAGCAAAAAACACTACATAGTTTTAAAGGCACGTGTGCAGCCAGCGCACGGGGATTGAAAACGGAACTACCATTTTCTGCAACGGCAGCGTGCGAAACCACTGTTTAGGTGACGCGATTACTAACCGAGGGCACGCGGTTAACGCTGTGGTGGAGGTTATAAAGATTTTAAAAAATTTTAAAATAGTTTTGGCATTCCTATTCGAAGAATCTAATAACGTTCCTGTCAATCTGGGTACCTTGGGCACACTTTTCTTGGCATAATGTTTTAACCCACTGGTTCAATTTTGTGGCAATGCAGGTTTGTTCTGGAAAGCTGGTTTTATGGCACAACAGCACCACTATGCAATGTATTCAACTTCTCGGGGTAGTTAAAGGCAGTTATTTTTATATGCCTATTCATGTATTTTAAATCTTTTTAAATTTCTGAAATTTGTGCCAAAGTGAATTCGAATTTCGTAATATTCTTTCAAATAATTGAAATGCCCGAATATTCGCCTGTGCCCAGTGTGTGCAGACCCTTCAAGGATGAGTTTCTCTTAAATTAAGAATTATAACAATGTATGTCGACCTAACTTTTTACTTTAGTATCTTCTTAATGCACTAATACATACCTGCCAAGTCTCTCGGATCTTCAGGAATACTGCCGGATTTTGACGAGTTTTCGTTTGTACGGTTGTCAGGAAAATCTCCCAGGAATCAAAATTTCTGTGTCTGATCTGGCCGCATTGACAAAAATACAGCCTAATCTGGTCCAGGTTTTTTGCGAACCAATCGCATTTTATTGCAAACAAATCTGGAGATGTTCATCTAAACGTACAGTAGAATCTGAATGGTGCGAAATCGGCTGATACAAATTCGTGAATTTCCCCAGCCAAACTCTATTATGCCAATTGTGCTAAAATTCAGGTATTTCGAACACTTTTCTTCATCGTGGCGGGTCATATGAACTTTAGTACCGAAGCTGTTGAACATAAGCTGAGAGCAATGTTCTCGATGCTACGAAAGGATGTGCGTGCCCCGCCCACGCACTGCCAGAACTGTGGTTATCGTTTTCCATAACCGCTGTTGGTCTTGACACGATCATGTATGTAGACAAAAATCCACGTGCGTCCTACGCTTTACCTGGTCAAAACGACTAGGTCAAAATGACTCTACAGGTCAAAACGACTTGGTTTTAAAGGCACGTGCGCAGCCAGCGCATGCTGATTGAGAATGGAACTACCGTTTTCCGTAAACACCGCGCGCAAATCCGCGGTTGCGGCGATGCGATCAGCAATAGCAGCTATAGGCCCACCCACATGCATGTGATTTTCCAGTGACAAATGAAAGCGATGGGATTTGTATTAAAAGAAAAGCGGCGCACAAAAAGACGGAGACAAAGAAGAGAACTTCACGCTTTTCTTTTAATATGAATATACACCAACTCGCCCAACTTTCTATTCTGTTACGATGGAATTTGCTGTCACGGAGGCCCGTCCGTTGCTGTTGCTTGTCGCGTCACACGCTTATGGAAAAAATAGAAAAAATCGCTTGTTGCCCAGAAGCCCGTGTGGTGATTTGTAGCAACATGGCTGCACCCCTGATCCTCGCTTCGGTTGCAGTTTGCTCTCGATGCTTATTTTTGCATACTTCAAGGAATGCAAGGTATCAACCACCTTCTTTACATTTACATCTCACATGGAGAGTTAGACAGCGACCGTGTTTTGTCTTATCTTTTTCATCTTCTTATTCATGATTTGTTTTGATGTTTCAGTGTGACAATTGTGGTAGCTTGCTGCAATGTGAAATCGTCATATGAAGTGCATCGTAGCCGTTGTAGCATACACTTTTGGGCACCCTGTCATGGTTCAACCAAAGATTGTGAAAAACGAAGGTCGTGAAACGTTGTTCTGGCTTCCTTATACCACACAGGACTAATAAATTTGGCATGTTGTTGTCAGCCTACTTTTAACTACTTTTCACAGTTTATGGGCATGCTTGCAATAGTTTTCAATCTAGCAACAATGACACTTCGTTGCCGACACGTGGTTGCAGCTGTTGCGACACGACAATGCGACGGAGCAAGTTTGCTGCTGTCGCTCGTCGCTATCACTAAAAAGTCGCGTGCATGCAGCTTGGCCTTACCAGCTGAGGGCATAGCTAACGAAGCAGTAGATTAAAGGTAATAAAGGCGTAAAAAAAAGGCTAGAAGCGTTTTGGCGTTCCTGTCTAAAGAGTCTAGTGATGTTGTTCCTGTCTATCTGCATATTTTGGCTATACTACGGCATTCAGTTTTCAGTTGACATCAAGCGAAGCTCCGACCCGCGTTTTCTTGGCAGCCGACTGCACCGTCTCTTCCGTTCATGTGTGTCCCAGGAAGACATACGCGAGTTCTTTTGATAGAAATAGATTTGGCTAGTTGTTTTGACGGTGTTAAACATGGGAGATATGAACATTTGGCACACCCTTTGAGGCTCACACCTTCTTCTGTAGTTGGAAAACCCTACACTCGTGTGTTTGGCCACTTTAAGCCATTATAAGACTGTAACGCCAATGTTTAAGGACCTTCCCCTTCTCTCTCTCTCTCTCTCCTTGTTTTTGTTTTCTTTTCTTTCTATCTATTTTATATCTTTCTTTTGAGACGAAATCTCAGAATGGTGCACTTCAAGGTGTCTATAAAGTTTTGGTTGTCCTTATTTATTAGACTCGCAAAGCCAGGAGCAGTACTCTACAGCTGTCGTAGTGATTGAACATGCTTTAAATATCAGTAACAGTATTTGTGTAAAATGTGGTGATTTTGTATCGATGCAGAGTCCAGTTAGCACGGAGCCCAATCCTTCTGCAGGAGAGGCTGGCATTGAGATTCCCTGTGTTGTGGACCTTGGTCTAGAGTTGGCCCAGCTGCAGATGATGCTCAGAGAATGCCTTCCACAGCTGGAAGGAAAGGTATTGACCTCTGGCTACTGACATGTTCTGTCATTGTATGATTGTGCTCTTCGTTTATCAGGTAGACCATCAAGTTTACCTGCAGCTAACATCAGATTTTTTGGTTGCCTTGCGTGAAATCGTTCAAAAAGTTGAGTAATTAAAAAAATTTATTCGCGTTTTTTTACTTCCCCAAGGGTTCAAAACGCAACTATCATATCAAAAATAGCTGTAAATGCATGCTAGTACACTTATTATTCTTGGTGGTGGTACAGTAAAGCTACGTTAAGGTGTACTGGCTGAGAGTGCTGCATAAGTGCACATTAACTCTCAAGTACAAACTTGCATTTTGGGCTCTACTACAAACAAGAAAGTAAAAGCGAAGCTTCAGAAAGTGATAATTTCCTTTCTGTAGTTTTAGATGCTTTTAATAACGAAGACCCACCGCTGAATTCTAGTGGTTATAGGGCTCGACTACTGACCCGAAGGTCACAGAAAGGAATCGTGGCTGCGGCAGATGCATTCGATGGAGGCAAAATGCCAGAGGCCTCTGTGCTAATATTGTCACGTGATTGTAACACTGCTAAAGGATGCACTAAGTGTTCAAGATTAAACTTTTATGGGAAATCTTTCCCTCAGAGTATGAAAAGGTAAAGTACAAGCAATACACGCTGTACACCGATAGCGGTGAACAGGTCATAGGCCATCGGTAATCTGATCAGCAGCAAAGCGCGCTGGCATTTTATATTTGTGGCATCGAAAGTTCTATTATTGTCGTTTGTGGCAGGGTTAGTTTTAGATAAACTCAACTGTTAGCGTTATGCACTCAAGCTTATTAGAAGTTTGTACAATAATTTGGACCTTTCCCAAACATTCGGTCACTGTCTGCGCTAGGCAATGGCCATACGTGTAACAAGCAGGTTACATAAAAATAGTTTAAAAAGTGCGCATGGCAATATTTAGGTGTGCATTAAAGAACCCCAGATAGTTGAAATTTCTGGAGCCGTCGACTACGGTGTCTCTGATAATCATATCATGGTATTGGGATGCAAAACCCCAACAATATTTAATAACAAAGGGTAAAGCCTTGATTTGACACATGAACACGTGACACCAAAGGCCTACAGTTCTTAGATCTGAAGGTTGTCTTTTAGTGATAGTCAAGTCTGGTTGGCTTTTCAGCCACATGCGGTGAGGCAGTTACTGTCATATGATTCTGCACGTTAAAAAGTGATAAAGAGAGAAATGACCATGCTTTGCTTAGAATCAGCTCTTTACAAGCCATGCACACACCAAATCCACTATATCTGTAAAGGGACACTAATGTAAAACAATAAATCAATCATCATTGATAAATTGGGCTCTATGAACTATGTCATTAATTTGGTATTAGTTGACCCTCCTTGTTGCATGGAATTTTAAGGCCTTTATTCAGCCACTTTTCATAATCATTGTCCACATCTCTTGTCCCATGACCTGTCACTATTGTGCCATCAGTGGCCCTTGTGCCATAAACAGGGGGACCATGCTGCGCCAAGCCACGCCTACATGGCAATTTCCACGTGAAACGCCAATTTTAGTCGAGAGTTTTATCACCGACCGAGCAAGACTTGTGGGCTACACAAAGGACACAACCGCGACCATATAAAGTTCTGTGTTCATATCAAATGTCGTATTTCTGATCACGCATGAATCTTCCACCTCGTGAACACAATGCATGATTCTTGTTAAGGTGGCATTTGTGTGCATACCTCATTGTGGGACCCTACATCTGTTTTAACAGCAAAGCTGTTAGGCATACTATAAAGATGGCAGTGGTGCTGCAAGAAACTCGTCGCACTATTCCTGAGCAAACACCGAGCACATGCTGTGCTTGACGATTGCTTGGCAATGGTGTGGCAGGTATTTGTGCTATATAAACTGAAAAAAATAAATAAATATCTGTGTCACCAGCAAAGCGATGACTGCAATACTTTTAATGTTGTGATGGTAGTCAAACCTCGTTATAATAAACTTGAAGGGGAAGTCGTAATTACTTTGTTATAACCATTAGTTCGTTATAGTCAGTATCTATTTCTATCGACAATTAGCCAGCGAAAGAAAATGAATATCTCAGCAGCCCGCAGCGCTGAGAAAAACAGTCGTCGGAAGGGAAAAAAAAGCAAAATAATTAAGAACAATGCACTTTAGTTTTGCAAATTTATCAAACCAGCTGACAGATCACTTATAAGAAAAATAGTTCTTAATGGACTTTTGCCGACTCTTCCTCACGCGAATGACTGCTTTTTCAGCTGCAGCAGCTATTTTGAGTTCGTCCTCACTGTCATCGTTAGCACCAAAGAAGCAGCACAGCAGGTCTGTCACATCCAATGCTTGCGCAGGCATCGGTACATTGGGTTCGCCAACATTAGACTTAGGGGTGTCGACACATTCGTCACTGTCCAGTCGTCATGCACGCTCGTCAGCGCGGGCACAATTTCCACATCTGACAACTGTTCAGTTGTCACCGCGTCAGCATCGGCATCGACGTACATGCAGAAAGTGTCGCAGTCGGGTACAACGCCGGCATCAAGGAAAGTGTCCCACGACATCTGGGCCTGGTTGGTCGCGGCACCCACTGGGGACATCGAAATCTTCGGCCTTTTTTTTTTTCTTGACGCCAGACTCAACATTTGCTGCTGCCTTTGTCCATCTCATGTGTAGTGGCAGAAACTGATAAAGATGGTGTTGCTCTTCCACAGTGAACAACAAGGAAGAAAGCCACAGTATCCGCCGCCCCAGCGGCGCGCGAGGCTACGGTGTGGAGTTGATGGGGAGAAGTAGATCAAATGCGTGGGCGGGTCAACGAGTTATACAGGAGAGGGTAGGCCGGCTGACGTGCACGCTCGCGCGAGTTGCTGCGCGGGCCACTCTATTAGTCCCTGAGGAAAGGGGAGGCTGGGAGACTCGCTCCCACACGGGTGTTGGCAGGCGGCTCTCGGGAAGCGCAACGCGCGAGTTTTGAATTACCGCAGCCGTGATGAGACGTAAATCGTCGCGCGATATAAGTTAAGTTATTAAATTGATGTATACCAATATGATCAGTAAATGCTTGTTGCGGGCGAGGAATGGTTTGTTATATCCTTTGTGAGAAAATTTTTGCTTCGTTAAAACGAGGTTTAAAATACATGGTGTCTTTGGGAATTTCAAGGGGAATTACAATTGCTTTGTTATGTTTATTAGTTTGTTATATTCCACTTCATTATAACGAGTTTTTACTGTAATGCCGCACATGCTCCTTTCTATTTTTGTAACCTCACCATTATGCATGTGTAATGCTGCCTGGCGCAAATCTCGCTCGAATGACTGGTGACCATCTAGATAATCTTAGAAACGCGTACATTATAGTTTGTTCTGGAACTTATGCGGCCGCTAGCCATAACGCTGGAATTTTCCATGGCACATGTATAAATGCCGACATACTTCTCTGCATGGCAGATTATCGACAGCCAATACTCTATGTTCGCTGCTATCAGTCTACAGCGTGTATTGCTTGTAGAGGGATGTTTCATTTTCCAAGCTCCGGTTAGCCCTAATAAAAAGTTCACTCATGAAACCAGCGGCTACTGCCTTCATTGACATCAGGACCCCCATGACAATACAAAGGCTGACAGCTAACTCTTGGATCCGACATCGTGACACTCACAACTGCAAAACGCTGGTGTAAGAGAATAAGTATGTCCGCTCTAGAGAAAAATGCTCTTATCGCACAATCTCTTCTCGTTGAGAGCGCACCACGTCGGTTTACGAGCAGTGCACTGATGCTTGCCGATAGCGCGCGCGCCAGCTATCGCAACCACGTCCTTGATTAGAATCAAAGTTCACAGCTGCTGCTCCAGCGACCCCCCTTTCCTCCCTCACGTTTACTCATGCTCGTTCAAGACAGCCGGCGGCATGTTCCTCTCTGCTTGAGCATTCGACGGCAGTTCTCACACGCAGTGGGATGCTAACGCGTGCGCCCTCCGAGCAGCGGAAATCGGCCGTCTCGTGTCATTTCTGCTAGAGCAGCGCTGGTCACACCAGCTTGCGCAATTTTACGCGCAGGTCGAATATACGATGCACGAGGATCGTACCAACTTGTAGTTCATGCAGAACATAATGGCAACGGCGAAAATCTGTCGATTGTCCATATAATTTCTATCGTAATCAAAAAATTTTCACTTAACTGCCTAGCAATGGCGTGGCGAGCGCATTTAAATTAGGAAGCGTTTCTGTGCGTGCCAATGCAGGCGCACGCACATAAAGGCTCCTTAATCTAAATTTCCTCGCGGTTCTCATGTTGGCTGTGGCATTTCAATGACCGGAACATAAGTTTTTAAATTTATTTTTATATAACCTTGTGGGTTCAGTATAAAAATATCTTTCATTATATACTTGCTCATCTCTAGTCTGGGGTTGCTGTCCATGTTGGATGTGATGTTTTAGTCACATTTTGAACATCGCAGCATTTTAACAATAAATTTTTTCATTCATTTGAGGTCTAGTAGCTGTCCAGAACACCGCTATATTTTTTCTTTGAGTTGCTGCACTTTCTGCTTTGTTGTTGTAAGGTTTAACATATATGAGTTTCAGGTAAATCTGGTCGCTTGATTAGTAATGCATGCTCGGTAAAAACTACTGAAATTTCTTTCTAGAAAGCAAAAATTCTAATTAACAGTGATATGTTGCCCGAGAAATCTGCTCTAAAACTAAAATTTGATGCTCCAAAACACTTTTTGCTGCTCCAGAGCTGCTCCAAAAGAATGCAGCCCACTTTTACCCCTGCATAAAGCACCCCAAGTCATCATCTTCATCATTCAGCCAGGAATGTTCAAAACACCATAACGTTTGTTCCAATGGGTTTAGAACATCCGTTTTTGTTGCACTGCACTCTGTTTAGATTCTCGAGGTTATTCCGATGGGCTGATTTACTTCGTACCTTTCTCAGTCAAGAAAAAATTTTGCTCCCCAAAAGGCACTTATAATATTTAGATTTCAAAACTACTCGTTATACTAGAAAATAATTGCATATTTGAAATCAGCCAACAAATACCATATTTACTTGGCACACATTTTTTAACAAGTTCGAGGCTTCTACAATGAGGTGCGCAAATTATGCGGGTATTTCATGAATGCATACGAAATAATGTGTAATAGTCCAGACCTACGCAGTATATACATTTAAAAAAGACAAGAAATTCGAGCACAAGCAAGTGTACTTGTTTATTCAACAAAATCAACCTGTACATTAACCAGCCAGATGCCCTGCCGCGGTGGTCTAGTGGCTAAGGTACTCGGCTGCGGCAGCTGCATTTCCGGTGGAGGCAAAAATGTTGTAGGCCCATGTGCTCAGATTTGGGTGCACGTTAAAGAACCCCTGGTGGTCGAAATTTCCGGAGCCCTCCACTACGGCGTCTCTCATAATCATGTGGTGGTTTTTGGGATGTTAAACCCCAGATATCAATCAATCATTAACCAGCCAGATCCGGTCACACATGGTCTAGCCGAAATTACCGATCGAGAATTTGATTGGAAATCATTGTTGCAGTCGCGGACTTCCCAAAGCGCGACGTCCTCAGTTCTGTCAAGTGCGTTCAAATGCATAATTTTCTAGAGGTTCTTGACAATGCTGGGAGAAACTAGATGCCACGACACAGCAATATCGGATGACCGAAGTGTTTGCCCATAATTGAAAAGGCCTTCAACGGCAGACAACTTGTATCAGCAAGCAAGCACACTTCTGCTTTCTTCGTTACAGATCACGCTGATGGTCACACACGTGTAAGAACTTCACGTTGCAGTGCTTGGTGAGGGCACAGTTTCTGTTTTCATCGAGAAACTTTAACAGCAAGCTTGAATTTCATCATATATACATTTATTGTAGCCCATCGCGAGGGAGCAGCAAAGAACGCGACAGACGGGTGGTGAAACCTAAACTTCCGGAATCAAGCAAGTGTACATTGCAGCACGGATGCAGAGAACGAGTTGGCAGTTGGCACTGCAGGCTCTTGCACCACTCGCACACCTGCAATGCAGAAAGTTGTCCGTGCCGTGATGCGAGCGTGCATTCTTATGGTGGTAGGGAGGGGTATATAGTGGGAAGTAAATGTGCTAGCAGTTCCGGCGACATGTCATCGTGTTTGAATGTTCAGGTACGGTTGTTTGAGTGTTCGGTTACAAGGGAAGTCTTTGAATGAAGGAACGAAAGGACTTTGCACTCACAGTTCGTTTGACAGCGCTGGCTTGCTCAGCAAGGTGCGCGCCAGTAAGGTGGCATGGGCGGGTCGGGGAGCTTGAAATATGTCAGTAAATGTTTTTTTTACTAGAGCTGGCAAATTATTAGATGTGTGTAAATTATGCGAGTAAATATGCCATACACAAACTTTCACCAAAATTAGCCTTGTTTAAATATTCAAGCACTATGAATATTCTAATGAATATTAATGTATTGAATTTGCTTCATTGTGGACAAAACTACGGTAGACACGATCGTAGATAGCAGTGACAAAGCTTTAAAGGCATGTGAATGGCGAGCGCGCACAGATTGAAAACGAAACTACTGTTTTGCCATAACCACTGTGCACAAAAGCATGGTCGCTATTAATAGCAGCAACTAACCACCTCCAAAGGTATGTGGCTAATGCAATGGTAGATTAAAGCTACTAAAGATATATATAATGATATAAGGGCACGAAGCATTTTGGTTTTCCTGTCATTCGTTTATCACTATGGTGGAGTGGACTTAGGCACTTAGGCACTGTGGTAGGGGAGCGAAGTAGAGCCAGAAGAAATCACCTCTAATGACCAAGCACCAGGTCTAGACTACTCGCGCTTGCTAAGAGTGAGCATGCTGAGCCCAGCACTCCCCAGGCTTCGTTCTCATTCTGTTTCCCTGGCTGCCGCCAATGCCCTCACTTTATCCCCTCCTCCTCCTCAAAAACCGGGGTGGGCACAGCAGCTTGTTTGGCCAACTTTTCCCGGAAGCAATAGATTCCGTGTCACACACTTCAAGCATTCCTTCACAAATTTTATTATTGAGCTAGCATCCTTGGCATCATCCTTGTCTTTGTCACTTTTGTTGGTGTATCCCAGAGACTTCCCATGGCTTTCCTGAGAGGTCTCTGGGACACGCCAACAAACTCTTAGACACAAAACCCAAACAAAATTATTATTATGAGGAACTGCTTTGAAACAGCACTGAGAAAATGTAGCTGAACTTTGTGGCCGACTCGCAATCCTCAAAAAAACCAAAAAAGTCGATATTTAGTATTATCCTAGTGTACTAGCATGCAGTTTTATTGGCTCCGATATCATTTATGCTACAAGAAGTTGCACATCAAGCACATAGCTTGTTTAGCTCTTTACCCCCACCATCTTGACATAGAGGCACTTTGGTGAAAAGTTCAAATGACCTAGATGCCCCGCCACGGTGGTCTAGTGGCTAAGGTACTCGGCTGCTGACCCGCAGGTCGCGGGATCAAATCCCGTATGTGGCGGCTGCATTTCCGATGGAGGCGGAAATGTTGCAGGCCCGTGTACTCAGATTTGGGTGCACGTTAAAGAACCCCAGGTGGTCAAAATTTCCGGAGCCCTCCACTACGGCGTCTCTCATAATTATATGGTGGTTTTGGGACGTTAAACCCCACAAATCAATCAAATGACCTAGATAGCTTAGATTAGATCTTGTATCTACTATCATCTGTTAGTTTGACTGCAGTTATATGGGGCAGCAGTACTCAAATTTTACAGGCTTAGTGAGATGTTCTGATCTACTAAATATATGCCTCGCGCTGTAACATTTCTTTGCAGTTTTACATGGAAGTAATGAGAAAATATTTAAAAAATATTGTATTTGGTTAACTCTCAAATTTTGATATCTTAAGTTCACTTCACACCCAAAATTTTTCTATTCGCACAGCTCTAATCTCGGTGCTAAACAAAGTATCAAATTTTGATATCTTAAGTTCACTTCACACCCAAAATTTCTCTATTCGCACAGCTCTAATCTCGGTGCTAAACAAAGTGATGTAGTCTTGCTGGCTGCTTTGCATTGCACTGATGCCCATAGTGCGTGGGATCTGCTGTGTTCTTGAACGTGATCGGACGCATGCACGTCCGTCCATCTGTCCATGCATGCGTCTGATCGCGTTCAAGAATACAGACGGCGCGTGGGTAACACCGACGCGACGCGAGCCGAGGAAGCCAAGCGCAAGCGTCTTCAACGCGCCCGCCGCTTTGCTTCATCCTTGCCCCACCAACGATCTGCCACGTATGGCTACTATCCAGGAGACTGAGAGAGGCACTCGTTTGCCGGGTACTCAGGCACAGCTCCCACAGCAGCGATTCGAAAAGTAGCGGTACAGTGCCATCTAGAATATCGTCAATCAACTGCAGTTTGTATGTACTTCTATGAGACAGCACCGTCTATTATACCGTACGGGAGATACTTCCTTCTTTTCTTTCTCGTCTCTTCTCTCGGTCACACAAGACAAGGTTAGCCTAAGAGGAGCTTTGCCCCTAAAAAAATCTGGGACTTCAATATTGTACGAATGCATTTTTATGCTTCTTGCACTTGTCAAAGCAGCACTTCGTTGGTTTTATTAATGGGACCAGTGAGGAGTGAATGGTATGTAAGAGTGGTAACTGGGTTCAGTGACTCTTTTTGCTGTATGAAGACGTACACATCTTAATGAAATTGTCCTGAGGCTATACAACTGTGGAGGCTTCAGGCTGCGAGTTTCGTGTAGAAAGGGTGGTGCCCTGTCTGCAGGAACCTAAATCTATACCTTGGATATGCAGGAAGGTGAAGCTGCTTTGCGAGCTGCTTTAGATGGCCGACCACGCAGTAGAGGTCAGGTGTTGTCCTGCTTGGAAGCAAACCCAGCACCAGCACCCCAGCCTCGCTCATCAACCTTGCCCAGGTGGGTGGAACCAGAGTTGCCTACAGTGTGTGGGCTCCCAATACTGGTGCTCAGAATGGTGGTCAGAAAATGGACTTTAGCATCACTTCTCCTGACTGCAGTGACCTCACATGCTAAACTTGGCCTGCATAATATTGCAGTACACTCCAGTTACCTGCGAGACCACAAGGTTTCGTCAAAGTATCCAAAAGGGTTGAGTTAAGAAAATTAGGGCCAAGATGAACAATTGAACTTTTTATTTTTGATTACCTGAGTGATTTTATCAATGGTCAGTGCCCCACATTCCTCTAAGCCATTTTAGACGTTGACAAAAACTTCAGAGGAAAGACCACTCTCGGCTCAGCAGAAGTTGCCATCACTGTAGAACAGATTTTTGCAATCCCTGATGTTGCCTTGTGAAGTAATAGCACATTGTCTGCTGAATTCCTTTGCTATAAGCAACCACTGTACGTATGTGTGTAGATTTAATCAAAGCCACGTGTGTTTGTGTTTGAACAAACTTGGGAAGTACATATGGCCTAAAGCGACAGTTAAACCTCAACACAGTGAACTTCGTTCAATGTAATAAAGTTATCTATATAAGAAGAAATTAAACTTCATAATAATTATTTGTGTCCGTTAAACATGGAGTATTTTCGACCTCAGTGTGACCAATACTTATCCACAATTTCAGCATCATGAAGTTGCACTGCTACCAGTTAAGAAGATCAAGGCAATAAACAGGAACTTCTGCTGGTGCCAGCGCTCTGATGGCAGAGTTATGTACAATGTCAATTTTTATGAAAGGGAACACAGCGACGTGTGGCTTGCACTCTCCGGCAGCTGCTGGCAGCGCGTTCAAGCAGAAGTGAGAGCAACCAAACTGGTTTTTTTTTTTTTTTTCACGTCATCTCGCAGCGAGCAAAACAACCATTCATTGCTAATATTGAACGGCAAGCTTGCAACCCCTCCCCCTTCAAGGCAATTACGCGAGAGCTGGTAATCGCCTTGAAGGGGGAGGGGTTCGCAATCTTGCCGCTCGTTTTATATCAGCAACGAATGGTTGTTTTGTTTGCTCACCGCAAGATGATGCGAAAAGAGAGTTTGGCTGCTCTCGCTCCCACTTGAACACACTGCCAGTTGCCGCCGAAGTCCGCAGACCACGCGCTCCTGTGTTCCCCTTTCATAAAAATTGACACTGTACATCTTTTGCAAATGCATTTTTCCAGCCGTATGACAGAAAGCAGTTGCCAAAGCAAAGCAGTGTCTTTTCCAACAGTGACTTAAGGGTGACAAGAACCTGAATGCTATCCTGCTCCTGTATGCCATTTCACAACCATATACGGAGACAACAAAACTCCAACCATACACACGTATCCACTGCTCACTGAAGTCAAAGTTTGCACTCATGCTTTCCGCATTACTGGGTGTATCCCTTTTGACCATTGCTCAAATCATATTCCTTATGGTATGCGAGATTGAAGTAACTAGAACAATAAGAATGGGGTGGAGCACATTTGGCAAGCACTCCCAAATCATGACAGGTAGATTGCCACTATTCCTCAAGAGGAAGGTATATAACAGCTGCATCTTGCCGGTACTTAGCTACGGAGCAAAAACCTGGAGACTTACGAAGAGGGTTAAGCTTAAATTGAGGACAGTGTAGCTAGTAATGGAAAATGGTAAGTGTAACCTTAAGAGGCAAGAAGAGAGCAGAGTGGATTAGGGAACGAACCGGGGTTAAGCATATCATAGTTGAAATCAAGAAGAGGAAAGGGACATGGGCCGGGCATGTAGCACGTAGACAGGATAACTGCTGGTCATTAAGGGTAACTAACTGAATTGCCAGAGAAGGCAAGCAGGTTAGGGGGAGACAGAATGTTAGGTGGGCAGAGGAGATTAAGAAGTCTGCGGGTATAAATTGGCAGCAGCAAGCACAGGACCAAGTTGACTGGCAGAACATGGGAGAGGCCTTTGTCCTGCAGTGGACATAGTCAGGCTGATGATGATGATGAAATTATAGAAGTTATTCCTTGCAAAAGTAGTGTTGTTTTGTTGTTTTTTTTTTGCCCCTTGTACCTTGTGCTTTTACAATTAGTTTTACTCAAGTCACTGTCTCTTTGCAGGAGTGCCCTGGCTCCCAGCACCACAATCCCTAGAGAACTACCAAGAGCCCTTCCAGATTTGCTTACCACCATGCCCTCTGCACAGGTGAGCCCCACTAAGCATGGCCCTCAAATATTTCAGCTCCTCTTTATAACTTCACTCATTTTTATGTATGTAAAGTAAGTGTCTGCATTGAGCCAATGACCAGAATCTTGAATAATGTTTTATTGGAGGTGTGTAATCGGTTATGGATGGAATGTAATATGCTCAACATTTATGTTTAATTATAATTTATTAATTTCAGTTTTAGTGAAAGAAAGGTGAGATAACAATTTATTGGGTATAAATAGCACTATGTGAGCAAAATTATGGTGTGAAGTATTGAATAATAAGTAAGGGTGTGCGAATATTCGAACTTTCGATAATTTTTCCAATATTGTTTGCTATTCTATTCAATTTGCAGGGAAATTTTACTATTCAAACTATTTGAATTTACAAAGGCTAATATAGTTCTGTACGATTGGAAGTGGCCCCTTCAGATTTTCAAGATGCTTCACCCAATAACATTCTCACATAATGATGAAGCAGCCGTTCAGACTCCGCTACAGTGGCGGATGTATTAACTCAAACAAAACGTTGGTTCCAACATGCACTGTTTCAGATGCATTGTGCCGTTACAGTAGCCCCATCATAGGATCACAATATGCTTCACCGCATGGCATTCTGGTATTGCAGTAAAGCTGTCTTTTAAGGCTTCATTATGGTCCTAAATAGACTGACTCGCAAGAGCGCTGGTTCAAACTTATACGGCAGAGATGTGCTTGCTGTTTTGGACAAGAAGGTCCGCAAAAATAGAAGATTTTAAGCATGTGACATTTCAGATGTTTTTATATATTGACGTCTACAGGGTGGATAAGCAACATTCAAAGGGAGGAGGCCCTTGTCCTCCAAATAAGTTGGGTTTCCAAAGATGTTGAAAAGGGGAGAAGTGGAGAAAAGAGCATCTTTTCCTTTCATGTGTAAAGTGTTGTGACACCACTTTGGTTGAGTTAAATTGTGTAAATTAATACAGTTCGGTGTCTGCATCGCCTCATCCTTGATAAAACAACTAGGGAACAACTTCCCTCCAACAGTTCACCAACCTAGACAAAAGAAACATTTCCATGTTCCGACCTTATAAGCATATACTTAGGGATCCTCTGCAACCTTTTTCCTGCAATTTCACATTGAAGTATTCGAAAAATAATAAACAAATATTCGAAACTATTCGAAAAGTATTTCATTTGAATCACACTCAAAACTTCATTATATTCAAATTCTGTTCACTTTGCTATTCGCACAGCTCTAATAATAAGGTTGCTGTTTGAATCGGATAGAATACTTATTGAACAAGGCCAAGGTAAAAACAGACTAAATGCTCTGTAAAACATAGCAATAGAAAAACAAAAGTCATTTATTGTGCAGCCAATACTCACCACAGTCGAACCCACTTATGACAGTTTTCTAGTGCCATGAAAATTCTATTGTTAGAACCGATAATTGCTATTAGCAGGTTGCTCTAGAAAAAGCGAAATAGGGGGAAGACAGGCTGTACTAAGAAAAGTATTTTATCAGAATGGATGTGCCAACCGACAGTGAAAAGGATGACAAGGCTGCCAATATTTTGGACATGCTCAAAAAATTCAGATGCCTTCAAGGGACCACCACAAGCCTTATGGAGCCACTGTATGGCAACATCTGAAGTTTTGGACACTGAAGGTCCAAGTCTCGACTTTTTATTCAAATTTCATGTTCAAAAGTGCATTAACAAAAGCCACCACCGCTTTTACGCCATTGTGCACTTTGAAAGTCAGCTTTGCCGCGATGCTGTAACGCTATGTGCTCAATCATACTTGAAATCCGAAAGGGTGCTGGGGGACGTTGGTATTGTGGGCAGCGGTTCATAGCTGGAATTTCTCATTTTCTTCTTCATTCCAAGAATTTCGTGTTCCATTACCTCTTGTCATGGACGCCCAAGTGCCAGAATTGTTATAATCGATAATACGGCATGTGGGCATCGTGGTTAGCAGGTTATTTCATCATCGAAAACATACAAACGTTGACGATGCAGCTGATATACTGTTGAATCCCTTTATAAGAGACATGCACTGTAAAGAAATTTTTGTAGTTTTTGTGGTTGTGAGCAGGTCGGCTGGGAAAGCGTATCAATGAGGTTCAACTGTTTATTGTGCTCATAATTTACATATGATTGTTTTTTTTTTTTTTCTCCTATTATGGGGGTCCATATGGTCCTACCATTTTATTATACCACTACGTGTGGTCCTTAATTCTTTGCGACTCATGTTCGGGCACTGCTGGACAAGTTGTTTCTTGTAGTTGATTCACATGCGCATATTCTCATTGCAATATGAATCATCTCTAAATGAATAAATAAGCTTCTTTTACTTGATCAGCCTATTCAAGCTTTTTACAGCAGCTTTTAACCAATAGTCTCCACCAGAACTTCTGTGTATCTGGAAATGTGCAGGGCCCAACTGCAGTGAGCCATGGCCTACCTCCACAGCCTGGTGGATGTCCTCCACTAGCATTTAGTAACCCAGTCTATCGTTGGGGTGGCCTCCAAGATCTTCAGCCAGAATCTCTCACTGGTAAGGGCATTTCATCCGTCTTGAACATAAAAAGGTCATGTCCTGGTGGTGTAGCTGGTACACGTCTCTTAGTAACTGCATGGCAATGATAACTACACTTTGCTGCCTAAAAGGGGATAACATAATAAGCATAGCCAGTGTTGCCATGTTACTATGCATTCTGAATACACTCTAACCTCATCATAAAACAGGATATAACAGATATACTACTAAAGTACCATATTTATTTGAATATAATGCGAGATTTTTTTTTTTTTTCCCAAAAACCGTGGCATTAAAGTCTACCCCCGCCTTATATTCGAGGTAAATATTAATTATTGCTTCAGTGCCAGGAAAGGCATACTGTTATTTTCTTTGCATGAAAATGTGAATAATTTCGAATATTTAACTTTATAATGCTATTACATATGTGCACCGTAAGCTAATAAGTCATCGTCAGCGAGATTAAAAAAAAAGAAATTGGTTTGACAGCAGTTATCTCCAATGGCCTAGAACGTCGGGGGCTCCGAGATTGGTGGCGGCGTGTCGGGAAATCACTAAAAGCCAGGAACAGCCAGCCAAAATTCAGTATGTGGCAATCCACAAGCCGAGTTCTGGCCACTTTTCTATGTGCGCTTGTCTTTCATGTTCTCTTGCTGGTGAGCGTGCAGCCTTCCGTGGCCTTTGTTTGGCATGGCATTTGGACTACCTATGGGAACCTTTCCGTCGTCACTAGTCATCATGGCAAGTCGTCGTTGTCACTATGATGCAGCCTTCAAGAGGAAAGTGATAACCGATGCTAAAGTTTGAGGCAACTGCGCTGCATGTCGGAAGTACGGCGTCCCAGAAAACAGCGTGCGATGTTGGAGGAGGAAGAAGGGGGCCCTTTTTGCCTGCGCTGCGACGCAGAAAGCTTTTCGAGGACCGCGCAAGGGTGTGTTTTCCGAAGTGGAGGAAAGTCTGACAGAATTTGTCGAAAAAACTAAGAGCCGTGCCTTGACTGTGACAACGGAAATGCTCAGATGGAGGCCCGGGAGTTCGCAGCAAATCGCGACATCTCCGGGTCGCAGTTGAAGGCTAGCCTAGGGTGGATGCAGAAGTACACGATGAAAGCCGGCTTCTCACTCAGAAGGCGGACTTCCATTGCGCAAAAGCTTCACCGTGACTACGAAGAAAAGCTGCTGTCTTTTCAACATTATGTAATCTGAGTGCAAAGAGAGCGCAACTTCCTCCTCGGCCAGATCGGGAACGCGGACGAAACCCCGATATTTTTTTACATGCCGTCGACGCGAACCGTACACGCGAAAGGGGATGTCCAAGTTCACATAAGTACCGCAAAAAGCAAAAATCACCGTCATATTAGCGTGCACGGCCGACGGGCACAAGCTGCCGCCTTATGTGGTGCTGAAGAGAAAAACCATGCCCAAGAATAAAAATTTCCCTAAGGGTGTGCACATCCGCTGCCAGAAAAAAGGCTGGATGACTGAAGCACTCGTCATCGATTGGATAAAAACTGTGTGGTGCCGGCGTCCCAAGGCTCTGCTGGCTCGCCAATCAATGCTCGTCCTTGACGCTTTTCGGGGACATCTGACCGAAGGGGTCAAGAAAAAGCTACGAGAAGCAGCCACCAATCTCGTTGTCATCCCTCTGTACGTCTTTGTGGAAAGTTTTCCCCACGTAATTCTCACACCCCCCAACTTTGCATCGGTTTTCTGCCAAAAAAAAGTGTGAGGATTATGCGAGTAAGTATGGTAGTTCCGGTCGATTGCTTTTTGCTGCACTGCAGCTGCTGTAACTGTGCAGTCAGGCGTGGTGCCTCCACTCGACAAAACTAAATGGTGCTTCGAGTGCACACCGGTGAAGTAACCACGAGCAGCGGTCGAAAGCTAGTGCGCTACCACTAATTTGCTGTTAGCAGGCTAATATTTCTTTTCTTCAGCTTAAAACTATGCCTGCATATCGAGCTTTTAATTGCTCAGTCTGACTAGGAACATCCTCAAGGAATACGTTTCGCGAAAAGGTGCTTTGAAATCATATCCACGTTCGCTCGTTTTACTAGGAAATAAGTAGTGAGTTATGCTTGGGAATTGCCTGAATTTTTGTTAGCTCCCCTACAAAATGAACTCAAAGGGCAGCCTGAGCGTAATCCTGCGCTGTCGCCATATGTTGGCAATATAGGTGTCTACAATGCAGGTTTTTTGCGTCTCATTCTGCAGTGGTGGATACCCTGTGCGAGCTGCCACTGGTGTAGCATCAACAGCATTAGAATCGCATAAATTGGTAGATAAGTGCACGTTTACTCGCGACCGCAGGTGCCATGGTACATGCACTCATTACGCAATACCTTGTTGGAAATTCCTGTGGGGCTGTCCCAGTGCCATACATGATTATTTGATCAGTGTGGCGCATGGTACTGGAAGGCTGGCACCCTGCACGTCCTACACGTGATGCTGGCTTGTAACACACCTGTTTTAGATTTTAAATATTCTGGTCAAAGCCAGATTGTCATTCTGACTAAATGACAAACTTTGCAACAAGAACAAAAAAAAAAAGTGCCAGAGAAGCCTGAACCCAGCCTGTCGACACACACTGCAACGTGAGCTGACATGCTACCTGCGCACGCTACATTTCAAAGACGAAGAGTAGTGTTCTTTACACATGACTCTGGTGGCCTGTTTTTTTCGTCACTTTGTTTAGAAATACATATTTCTGTCTCTCGGGGCTCGCGACAACCGAACAGAAGATAGGTCATTCGTTTGTTGTGTGTTGCCCAGGGTCTGATTATCTATCTGGCACGTTTTGTCATAAGACGTGTAGGCGTAACCACAGATGTGAGCTGTATTCAACTCACATGCGCGTGCGCTCGGATGTACGCAAGTGCGCCAAGCACAGCAGCCGGAAGTTGGCCTCTACCTGAAATGAGTCATCCTTTTGAAAACTTGCAACAAAGTTTTTCTATACTTCAGCCTGTTTATTCAAATACAACAACTCTTATATGTATAGTGTCAATGGGAACAAGCACATCTGATCCCAACAGTGCTCTAGATTTATGTCTGCTATTGGTCAATAATATTTTGCGACATCTAATGACAGACAAACATGATGTTCGATGACAGACACCTGCTCACCGACAGAAGAACCAGCTTCTGTTTGAAAAGAGGACACTTGAAGAAAACAGCAATTTTGTGCTTCGCTTGTAGCCTTTATGTGGCATGCATAACTGTAACATTCGGCAGAGCAGGTCATAGGTGTGTGTGCTTTCCGCAGGATATGTCTTTTTAACAACAAGCCCGAGGGGTGCTTCACGACCTCACCAAAAGCATGTGGTGAACTCCCGCAACTCTGCTTGTACTTGACGGATTCTAAAAATTTTTGTGGCCGTCAATTTATGAGGCAATGAGCTCTTTTAGTCAACTTGGAAAAGTGTTGCAGGGCCCCTTTAAGGTACTGCCTCTATAATGTGTTTCTCACTAAGCTGCATGGCACGCTTGCAGGTGGAGAGAGTGGCAGTAGTGGTCACAGCAGTGCAACCGAGAGCGAAGCCAGTGGTACCTCAAGCCCATCTTCACCACACCTCTGGGAAGACAATTTTTTAGGGTATGAATCCTCTCCCTTAAATGAAATAATGCATTTCTTAGAATAATTTATGACTGTGGCCTACCCCACCTTAGTATAACTGAAAAGTGTATTGGTGTTATGTGTTGATGTGCTACAAAAGGTTTGCAGTCATTGCAAGCATCAATAGTTTGTATCACTAATTAACAGATTAGTTTGTTGCTGTCAACATTTTTTTGGTTGGATAGAAATTTTAAATTTTGGGGTAGTGTAAATGCAGTCAGCCGGCGTCTACAATTTGAAGCTGCTTAATTGGAATTTAGGGTTATAAAAAAGAATAAAGGAACAGTCTCTTTGGCGTTACATGCTGTCTTTTAAAAAAATTGCTAAATAATACTGGTGGAATAAAAGTCATTTTTTCAGTCAGACACCTCAAATCAACCAGCTAAGTTCACATTTTGAAATAAAACATTGATAATAAAAATGAAAATTTAATATTTTTCAAGTGTAAAAAATTGCTCCATGCACCAAGGTGGCGTCATTCCTTGCATCGCAACAGTGTCCACAGTGCCACAGTTTTTAAAGTAGCACAATTATTCAGGCCTGTTCTTTAATTAAACCCAGCAACATTTTTATATCATGCCCAGATGTGCATCTCCTTCTTTCCTGAAGTTTGTCAGTCACATTGAATTTTTTCTTTTTCGCTTTTTTAAGTGCAGTCTTGTCTTTGGTGTATCATGGCAACTTGTAGCTTCTATCGCATGCTTGACTAGGGAATGAAAGTTGAAGCCTTAAAAGAATTGGGGAAAAAGAAGCATGGCCAACCTAGATACCACATGGAAGTATGGTGTTAAGTCTGACTTCCATGCGCTGTCTTCCAATTTAATTAGGAATAAGTACTCAGTACTGAGTATTTTTGAGCATGATCAATTTAAGATTGTATATAAAAAGAATGTGCACCAGCTTCTACTTGGAGTTGGAGGGGGGGGGGGCTGCTTTTTTAGGTTGGGGAATCACCAAAATAACCTTACTCTTAGTGGTGGGGTTCTTATGGCAAGAGCCTTGTAGCTTGCACCAATGTTTGATACCAATGCTTCATTTTCTTCTTTGAATGGCTGGCACATTTTGAATAGAATATCGTCTTGGTCTTGAAAAGTGTGTGTGGAGAAGTAATGCCTGTGAATAGGGAAACATGCACAATGTGGAAAGAGGAAAAACCGTGGGAATTGCTAACAGAATATTTGCAGGAAGACATCTAACACAGATGACACTGTGTACACTTACTGGCTTTTACTTCATAAGACACTGATATTAAAAGGAAACTGCTGTGCTTAGGGAAAGTGGAGCAAGCAAACAATGTCTGTTATAATCAGGGCAAATTTAAATTTTAATCAGGGCAAATTATAATCAGGGCAAAGACTGGATCACAACTTCATGCCATTGTGTTATGTGGTGTTTCTTATGAACCACTTCAGCACCTGCATCAATGTGCTAGCCTTGAGTGCTATTCCTGTGGCACATTCTCTGTAAATATGACATTTGTGTTGAAACCTATGTACCAAGGTGTCATTAAGAAAGTGTGAATGTTCTTTATAGGTTGCAGGCCATGCCTCAGAAAATATGGTGAAAGAAGTCTTTGGGAACATTTACAGCCTGCAGAACTTGCTTTCAGCTGCATAATTTCGCAAGAAAAAAAATAATAAATATGACAGGCTATTTTCGTAACATTTGGAATGTGAAACTGAACAGTGTGTTTTGCTATACCTCAGTCTTCAAGCTGAAGTGACTGTGGTAGCAGTGTTTATTTATATGTTCCATACCTGCCAAGTATCCCGGATTGGCCGGGAGACTCTTGGTTTTCGACAGTTTCTTTCATTTGTACGGTTGTCATGAAGATCTCCCGGAAATAAAAATTTCTATGCGTGATCTGGCCGCATTGAAAAAAAAAAAAAACAGCTCAATCCGCTCCGGGCTTTTCGAACCTACCCCATTTTATTATAAATGAGTTGAAGAGGCGTTCGTCTAAACGTACAGTAGAATCTCAGTTATGCGAAACTGCAGCAGATACGAATTTGGGAAATCCCCCAGCCAAATTTTACTATGCATTGGACCTAAATTCAAATGTTCCGAACACATTTTCTAATCGCGGTGGGTGATACCTTTAGTACGGAAACCGTTGAACGAAGGCCGAGAGCAGGGTACTCGAAGCTTCGAAAGTATGTGTGCGAACGGCACACGCACTGTCTTCTACAGTGCGTGTGATTGTCGTAGCCACTACCGCTGTGGGCGAAACCGCGGTCTCACTTGACACAATCATGTATGGCAACGATGTAACTGACGGAACCCCGAAAGTTTGCACCTAAAATGTGGCAGATGCAATCGTAGATGGCATAAAACAACTTAGTTTTGAAGGCACGTGCGCAGCCATGCGCACTAGGATTGTAAAGATTCTAAAACCGCAGTCGAGCTCCGAGGGCATGAAGTGATAGGTCAGCTCTTTTGTTTTCACATCTATTCAAATCAATCACCGGTGATCCACACATTCTTTTGTCGATTTTGGCATGTTAAATTTGTTTCTTGTGAACCCAGCCCTTTCTAGTAGTTAGTCCAGCCACTCAACGTTCAGAATCAATTTGAATTTGCCCGTTTTGGCAACATAGTGATTTTCGAAAGATGTTTGCACGAACCAGTGCGCATATGTTGTTGAAAAACGCACTAGGCTAGTGAACTTGACAAAAATGCATGCCCCTTCTGATTATGCTTCAGTAGCATCAGAGGTCTATAGTCAAAAGAACAATTGCAAGCCAAATATTGAATTAAATAGTCAGCTTTGCAATTGAGCAGTGTTGTGCAGTACTAATATCTGGAAATTTATGCCAGCTATTCAATAAAAAGTTGTTGCTGGGATTCAGGCAGAATTTATTCCACAAAAAAATATTACCGAAGGTCCGTCGCATGTTTTAAGTACAGTCGCCGACCGATTTTTCGGACCTGGCGGGGACCGAAAAAAAGTACGAAAAATCGAACAGTCCGAAAAATTCGTTTTCGCCAAAAATCTGAAGTTTATTGCATCAGGCAGGTTTAAAAAAGTCCTTGATGCTGCCTTGCCTCAAACTACGCTTGGAAGCAATTTGGTTTGCCCGTATTTGCGCCAAGGTGACATCGTCGCCGTAAACGCTCAACAAAATTGTCACCGCGTTGGCGATCTCCGCCGCCGACGGCTGCGGGCGGTCGTAATTGTCGTCATCCGACGACAACGACGACCGCCATCCGGCGTCGACCGTCATCCGGCGACATCTAGCTGCGAACGTCCACTCTCTATTAGCTTGATTATGGCAGCTTTCTTCTCCATCGTCAGGGTCGTATACTTCCCACGCTTCTTCACACTACCTGGCTCCCGCGATGGCACTGATGGCGGAGCCATGGCACCGAGAACACAAAATTCGATGCCGCAGATAGCCGCTGCGAAGCACACAACGTCTCGACGCTACGCGACACAACACGTGCAGAATGGCGACTGAAAAAAGCTGCAACGACGATAAAAGAATCCTTCTTTCGCCTCCTCCCCGTGCGATGTGATGACGATAGTGCTGACCGAAGACGAAAAAACGGCATCCATCACCGCGTCTTTTAAAAAGCAAACACGGCCTCTGAAACTTAAAATATGGCGTGCGCATTCCAATCTCGGAGGCAGAAAAGGCATCTGAAGACCAAGCTTAGCCAAGCCGACGGAAAATCCAACATGGCGGCGTTCACAATGGTTTGGGGCGTGGCACAAAACAAGCGATTTAGTCCGAAAAATCGAACTTTCAGGGGCAAATTCGTCCGAAAAATCGGTCGAAACAATGCATTAGCTCTATGGGATCCCTGACGGTGCATTTATGAAGTCCGGAATATCCAACAAGTCCGAATTTTTGGAGTCCGGAAAATCGGTCGGCGACTGTATCGAGTTGGCCTTCCCAGTCGGTTTCCAGCAGCTTTGGTTTTGCTTGTATTGTTATATCAGACACAGGGTCACATTTAGCGTAACTAGTCTCTCCTATGGCGTCATCATCAGGCCCGTATGGGCACGCATCAGCGCTGCAAAACACATGCACCACTCGAAACTGTCTTGCAACCCAACCTTAACTAATTGAGGATAAGCTTAGAGTCCGTGGATTACAGAACCCCAACTTCAAGTCTTGGGGGGACGATGTTTTGTGCCAGCCTGAGACATCCACAGTCATTCATGGGATTGTTTTCTTTACGGCCTAAAGTTGTCTTCTACGCTGCAAGTGCGTAGACACTGATCTTTCGGCACAATCTTATAGCTACTCTGGTTACTTATGAGGTCCTCACTTCACTGGGGCACAGTGTGCTGGCGCCGGATGCAGAGCTTGTCCTAACAACAAGGAGGCCACCGAGGCACATCTTGGCCCTGACTACAGAGCAGTGCGAAACGTTTTATAACTTCACGCTATACGTTCGTTTTTTAATACGATGTACAAAATACTAAGAAATATGCTTGCATGCATATATAGGAACGCCAACCTATGCTGAGTAAGGTGGCTCATGGAAAGTCGTTACGCTAGACGAAATAGCAAATTTCATTGGACATCTGGTATATAGAGGTATTACTGACATCACTAGTATCCATCTATACTTGAACAACTGGAGGATTTTGTTGCAAAAAAACAAAAACTTACTGAGAAAAGTGTATGAGTTCAACTGTGCCCCAACAACCAAGCAGTGCTTCACAGCATGGAAGGAGAAACGAAGCAGCATTTTGGTTTCGATTTTCTTTCTCTATGTGAATAGAAATATTTCCTATAACAATTATTATTGTTTATACTGTTTTTGGATCATTTATCTTCAAAATGTATATTCTGAATTTTCTTTGTTTCGAATATTTTTGCATTTATACTCTTTTTATTGCACTGTTTACCAGCTGGCAACCAAAAATTATACACTTTTCACATTTTTATTCATTATAAAATATTTGCGGTGCTCTATAAAATATAATTTTTTAAAATCATCATCATCATCATCAGCCTGACTATGTCCACTGCAGGACAAAGGCCTCTCCCATGTTCTGCCAGTTAACCCGGTCCTGTGCTTGCTGCTGCCAATTTATACCTGCAAACTTCTTAATCTCATCTGCCCACCTAACCTTCTGTCTCCCCCTAACCCGCTTCCCTTCTCTGGGAATCCAGTTAGTTACCCTTAATGACCAGCGGTTATCCTGTCTACGCGCTACATGCCCGGCCCATGTCCATTTCCTCTTCTTTATTTCAACTATGATATTCTTAACCCCCGTTTGTCCCCTAATCCACTCTGCTCTCTTCTTGTCTTTTAAGGTTACACCTACCATTTTTCTTTCCATTGCTTGCTGCGTCGTCCTCAATTTAAGCTGAACCCTCTTTGTAAGTCTCCAGGTTTCTGCTCCGTAGCTAAGTACCGGCAAGATACAGCTGTTAAATATCTTCCTCTTGAGGGATAGTGGCAATCTACCTGTCATAATTTGAGAGTGCTTGCCGAATGTGCTCCACCCCATTCTTATTCTTCTAGTTACTTCAATCTCGTGGTTCAGCTCCGCTGTTATTACCTGCCCTAAGTAGACATAGTCTTTTACAACTATCAGTGCACTATTACCTATCTCGAAGCGCTGCTCCTTTCCGAGGTTGTTGTTCATTACTTTCTTCTTTTTCTGCAGATTAATTTTAAGACCCACCTTTCTGCTCTCCCTGTTCAACTCTGTAATCATGAGTTGCAATTCGTCCCCTGAGTTACTCAGCAATGCAATGTCACCGGCGAAGCGCAGGTTACTAAGGTATTCTTCATTAACTCTTATCCCTAACTGCTCCCATTCTAGGCTTCTGAAAACCTCCTGTAAGCACGCGGTAAATAGCATTGGGGAGATTGTGTCCCCCTGCCTTACACCCTTCTTGATTGGTATTCTGTGGCTTTCTTTATGAAGCACTATGGTAGCAGTTGATCCCCTGTAGATTTCTTCCAGAATGTTTATATATACTTCATCTATGCCCTAATTCCGCAGTGTCTGCATGACGGCTGATATTTCTACTGAATCAAACGCCTTCTCGTAATCTATGAAGGCTATGTATATTGGTTGGTTATACTCTGACAAGAAGGCACTTTCGTCCTTATGTCGCAATAAAATAGGTACAACTAGGTGACTGAATAACTCACGTGTTCATGGTACATCCAGCTCTGCTTACCACGAGTGCCTCAAGGGAGGAAGAAGTGGTAGAACTGCAAAGATATATGTGGGTAATTGGTTAGCCAAGGTCTGTCTTCAAAGAGGTTTATAACTTGCACGTGAGCAGAGCAGAACCATACGGAATGAAGAGAGGCTACATCAAGATGTTTCATCACCTCTTCAATGAAATTTTCAACATATTGATTATCTGGAAATGGCTCAAAGGAGATGAAAAGACAGCAGACCACTTCGATTTGCACAACTCGGCATCCAAGGTTCCTATCTTATTCCTGTACAGTAGAACAAAAACTCAAGTGATAGGGATGTTCTAGTGAGTCTTCTCTTCCTGTAAATCACAGCTTGATACAAAAATGACATGAACATTGGAAAAAAAAAAATTTGTGGTGATGGTCACATTCTAGCGAAGACCGAACATAAGTGTGCCCAGCATTGCTGCATTGTGTTTTGCCACTGAAAAGCCAAGTACAGTAAAACCCCGTTAATTCGGACTTCACAGGACCAGAGAGAATGCCCGAATTAACGGAGGGTACGAATTATCGCGAGTACCAACAAAACTCTTGAAAAATGTCTCCTACACCATCAGACTTTTGTCTTAAAAAAGTCTGTGATCGCGGTTTGCTTCACGCACGCAATGTGCGACGAAGTCACAATTTTGTGAAAATCCTGCAGGTGGCTTAGTCCGCGCACACTATCCGAGGAAAGCATGCATATGTCCTCCAATACGGCCAACCCATGCGCAGCCTCCTTCATAGTGTGGCGTGGTCGCTCATCAGCATCACTTACATCCTCGTCAGCTGATTCCCCTTCGCCGTCCAAGACTTCGAGGACGATATTGCTGTCGGTCATTGTGCCTGCCACGGCAACATTGCTGTCAATTGCGAAGTAATTGCCCAGGGGCACATCAGCTGCCATGATACTCACATAGCTGCCGTCTTGCTCTTCGCCGTTTTCCTCATCGGCCGCCACACCCGAATCAGCAGCGTTGTGCACGAAGCTGCTATGCCTAAAGCAGTTTGCGACTACTGCAGGCGGTGTGTTGTTCTACACGTATGTTAGCATGTGGATTGCGCTTAGCAGGCTTACTTCATACTGCTTGCCTGACTTCATGCAGAGCAACATCCACTCGAGTACCTGCCATCGATAGCGGCTTTTCACAAACTGTATGATTTCCTGGTCAATCGGCTGCAGGGAAGTCGTTGTGTTCGAAGGCAGGAATAACAGGTCAATGTTCTCAAGCCCGGACACCTTCGTGCGCGCACTACAGTTGTCTAGCACGAACAACACCTTCTGAGCCTTGGCCGCAAAGCGACAATCGAGCTGGTGCAGCCAGGTTTGAAAGAGTTCGGCAGTCATCCAAGCCTTTCTGTTGAACAGGTAGTCGACAGGCAGCTGCTTAATGTTCTTAAAACTGGCTTCGCAGCCTTCCCAATCACCAGCAGCGGCAGCCGCTCTGTGCCGGTAATGTTAGCAGCCAGAAGAACTGTCATGCGCTCTTTACTTCGTTTTCCATCGACGCACGGCTTCTCCTTAAACGCGATTGTCTTGTCAGGCAGAGCCTTATAGAACAGCGCTGTCTCATCAGCGTTGAAAATGTTGCATGGAAAATGTTGTACGTAGAAAGGCGCACGGATAGTCCAGACCACCAGTTGTGCACAACACTTTCGTCAACCGCACCTCTTTCACCACACACGTTGCGGAGCACCAGCCCATGTCACTTCTTGAAGCAGTTGAACCAGCCTTCCGATGCATTGAAGGATTCCATGTTCATGATCCCCGCAAACTTTTCTGCTTGTGCGCAGGTAAGGGGGGTCGCTCAAGGGCAAACACGCATCGCGCGGAGCTGCACTCCAGCGCAACAGCGCTTCTTCTAGCTTGGGATACGCTGCCGTGCTAAGCCTCTTTCTTTGGTCCCCAACATGTCCCCGTCATACACTTGCATAATCTGCTCTTCGTTCTTCACGTAAGGGCTCAGTGTGCTTTTCTTCACATTGAACTTTTTCATCACTTCTTTTCAAGATACTCCCGCTTGCAACACCTTCAATATTTTCACCTTCGCAGCCAAATCCTTTGCTTCGTATTTCGCCCTCTTCGCTGCGGGAGTTGGGGAGGTTGGGGCCACAGAAGACGGAGGGGAAGCCATCCCGGCGTCGCTCGCGTGGTGGTCACGCATGCACGCACGAAGTAGACAACACAAACACACACAGAAAAAATGCACGGTGATAAAAACGAAATAAAAATCAGTGAATTTTTCAAAAAACAGCAAACAGTCAGACTGCAGATGGCACTGATCATGAACAGATAAATAATTTAAAGCACACTAGAGCTGAGCAATCCAACTCAACCTTCACGAAACGTGTTCGACGCGCAAGAAAAAAAGAAAGGCCAATCCGTAGGTTGCTCGTTGCTGTAGCGATGCACTGCCTTCCATTTTGGTTGTTTTAACCACCATGTGTATTTTTCTTTTTTTTCTTTTGGGGGGAAGGGGGGGGAAATGCCTTTGAGATGTACTACCCATGGACGAAGTTTTGAATCTCAGAGGCCGCAATCCGATCCCAAAGTTGCCTAGGTGCACTGTCGATTTGGCCGGCAGAATCCGCTGCTGCTTCTCCGTCGGGACTCGACCACAGTCGGGCGTTCGAATTAACCGAAGTGCGGCCAAATTTGTCTTAATGAAAGTTTTCAGTCATAGAACAATGTACATTTTCAACAGCACCAGACACCGTGGTCGAATTAACCGATATTTCGAATTAACGGGGTAGAATTAACGAGATTTCACTGTAGTTCTAAGGTCTGTGCAATGTATCGCAATGTCCTCGATGTTTCAAATCTTTCCACAAAGCTTATAGTGTTTACTGAGACCACTTATATTGCACAATGACGCTGCAAGGAAAATGTGTAGTGTGTTTTTCGTTCTCGCTCTCTTTTTTCGATCTGTTTAGATTTGTTCTCAGAAAAAAATGGTCTGATCTCCTCATGAAATAATTAGTATTGTTCTTTTTCACTCAATGCATTCATTTCTCATTTACTTAGATTGTGTGTTTATACTTCATTACATATTCCTTTTTCAGCAAATCTCTTCGAAGTGCAAGTGTCACTCTTGTGAAACATGTTTGTGGCATAATAGCATCTTTTCCTCATATGAGGGAATACTAAAACACGTCATATTGTGTGTGGGGGGGGGGGGGGGGTTCTTATAGTTTTGCGTATGTTTGGACTATCTGAGCAAAAGCAGGAATTAATTTTTTTTACTGCTCAATATTTATTCACGCATAAGAGTGGGTAATGTCAATCCATGCAAGAAAAATATCTTGTCTCCTTCAGAGCTGCAGGTGAGCTGTCTGGAAAAAGTCGAGAGAATGATGAGAGGTTTCCCCACAGAAGCCTTCGTGAAGTAAGTACTGTCACTACTACATTGTTTTTTGTGGGAGCCTATTTGATGTTCAGCCAAAATTCGCAGCGTTTGTAACTAAGTATCTTCAGTTTCAGAGCAGGAGAGAAGATGTATTGAGGTTTCAGTTCTGGAACAATTGTGCAGCGTCCCACACATAGATCAAACCTACCAGCTGCATTGTGGTAGATGGGCAATGTGTTGCCAAGTGGCTCAATGGCAAAAAATTTAGCACCCCATGCACGTGGCAGCAGAAAGCATGCCTAACATGAAGACATACTAGGTCTTGCAATGCAGCTTCACTGCTCTGGAAGTTTTCAGCCAACTAAAAATTGTTGATAATAATTTATTAAGCTTAACATCCCAAAACCATGGTGGGATTGTGTGAGAGGCCATAGTGGAAGGTTTCGGAAATTTGAGCTACCTAGGGCTCTTAACGTGCATCTAAATCAAAGTACATGGGCCTCAAGCATTTTCGGCTCCATCAAAAATGCAGCCGCCATAGCCGGGATTCAATTCCACAGCCTGCAACTCAGCAGTCGAGCATCATAACCACTAGACCACCAAGCAGGTCTTTAAAAAAATTCCTTCTCTCTCTTTGTATATACACCGCCTTTATTCGCACAGTGAATGCACTTTTTTTCTCGAAAAATTGGAGCGAAGTTAAGGGGTGCATGTATTACGCGGGGTAAATTTGATATAAACTTTTTCGGGAGGAGCAGAAGATAAGGTAATGCAAAAAAAAAGCTTAGGTTGCTTAGCCTTTCACAATTGACACGTGCGTACACTGTTTGGAAACAGCTTCTTTGTTACTTTTTACTCATCTTCGGTGGTTGATGGTGCTATCTTCTGCAAACTGTCCCCAGGCTGCCCTCGCACGCCATAAAAGCGTTTTGCGGCTATCTTTTCTTGCAATCATTTAACTGCAACAGTGATATCTGCTGTGATCTCGAGGGGCTCCCAAAAGCGTGTGCTACGACGCACTTTGCAAACTTCATGGCAACTTTGCACGACAACAGTGACGACGTCGTTAACATTGTAGCAAGTACCAATGCTGCAGGAAGCTACCCCCGAAGCTGATTAATAAACATAAGGTATCCGATGTAAGAAGGTATAACATGGAGAGAATTTAACACACTCTGAAGAACGGAGGAAGCGTGAAAGCAGTGAAGAGGAAACTTGGGATAGGCAAAAAATCAGATGTATGCTCTAAGGGACAAGAAAGGCAAAACAACTACCGATATGGATAGGATAGTTTTTTAATAATAGTGGAGGGGTTCTACAGAGATCTGTATAGTAGTAATTGTAATGTAAGAACTAGCAGTAACCCAAATGACATCCCACCAGTAATGACAGAAGTCTAAAAAGCCTTGGAGAGCATGCAAAGTTACAAAGCTGCTGCTGAGGATCAGGTAACATCAGATCTGCTGAAAGATGGAGGACAGATTGGGTTAAAAAAAAATAGCCATCCAATTTACAAGGTGTCTTCTGACAGGAAGAGTACCAGAATCTTGGAAGAATGCTAACATAATCCTAATACATGAATAAGGAGATGACAAGGACATGAAAAATTACAGGCTGATCAGCTTGCTCTCCGTCGTATACAAGCTATCTACAAAGGTGATTGCTAACAGAATTAAAGCAATATTAGAATTCAATCAATCAATCAAAGGAACAAGCAAGATTTTAAACAGGCTACTCAACAATCGACCACATTTATATTATCAATAAGGTAATAGAGAAATGCTCAGAATACAGCCAACCACTATACATAGCCTTCATAGATCACGAGAAGGCATTTGATTCTGTGGAAATATCAGCAGTCAGGTAGACACTGCGGAATCAGAGCGTGGACGAAGCATATAGAAACATCTTGGAAGAAATCTACAGGGGATCAACTGCCACCATAGTGCTCCATAAAAACAAGCAACAAAATACCAATCAAAAAGAGTGTAAATCAGGCAAATACAATCTCTCCAATGCTATTTACCGCGTGCTTACAGGAGGTTTTCAGAGGCCTACAGTGGGAAGAGTCGGGGATGAGAGTCAATGGAGAGTAAGACTATGTCTACTTAGGACAGGTAATAACCATGGATCCGTACCACGAGATTGAAGTAACTAGAATAAGAATAGTGTGGAGCACATTTGGCAAGCACTCTCAAATGATGACAGGTAGATTGCCACTATCCCTCAAAAAGAAGGTATATAGCAGCTGCATCTTGCCGTTACTTAGCTACGGAGCAGAGACCTGGAGACTTACAAAGAGGGTTTGGCTTAAATTAAGGACGATGCAGCGAGCAATGGAAAGGAAAGTGGGTGTAACCTTAAGAGTCAAGAAGAGAGCAGAGTGGATCAGGGAACAAACCAGGGTTATGGATATCATAGTTGAAATCAAAAAGAGGAAATGGACACGAGCCGGGCATGTAGCATGCTGACAGCGTTGTAGTTAGCAGAAAAATACTAATAATTAACAGATATGAAGTTTGAAACTTTCTAATTGGACGTTTTGCAAACCGATCTACAACTTTTTCATAGAAGTTTTTTATCCGCCTTTGCTCCTTCAAAAGTTAGTTAATTAAACATATTTTATTAAATAATTTTTTGAACACGAAAAAAAGTGAAAAAAAGTGAAAGTTGTACTCTAGGCAACGGTCAGCAACATGCATTTGGTTGTGTCGTAATTGCATGCGTCGGCATATTTTTAAACTCTGTCTAAAGATAGCTGGGGTACCCTATATACAGTCGCCGAACGATTTTCCGGACTCCAAAAATTCGGACTTGTTGGATATTCCGGACTTCATAAATGCACCGTCAGGGATCCCATAGAGCTAATGCATTGTTTCGACCGATTTTTCGGGCGAATTTGCCCCTGAAATTTCGATTTTTCGGACTAAATCGCTCGTTTTGTGCCACCAAGGAGGATACATAAAACTTGCTGGAGTGGAAGGGGCGTTGTGCGAGTGAAGCCAGCCGCCGCCATCTTGCCAGTGGCAAAAAGCGTGCTCAGCGCCCTCGCGAGCTGCTGATTTCGTCCGTTCTTGTTTCACCTTGTCGGCATGTAAAGACAAATGGTTTACAATGGTTGCCTCTTGCGTCGTTTACAGATGTGCCAACAGGTTGAAAAAAGGTTGTGGCCTCACATTCCACCTGTACGTACACGAAAACGTCTTCGACATAGCCATTCCGCGCTCGTTACTAAAAGGAGCTATAGCTGACGCGATCTAAGCGTGCAAAACATAGCAGTCCGGATTTGTTTTACAGGTTTACGAAAGATCCCGTAATGCGGAGCCTCTGGGAGTGGGCCGTTCGCCGTGAGAAGTAGAATGCGAAAGACTGAGATCATTTAGCTCTGTGCACTTCGCACCAGAGTGCTTTGACCACCTCTTTGACATTGAAGGCAGGCATGTGAAATGGGGTTATGAAGTGGCATTGAAGGCACTTCAACGTGAAGAAGGGTTGTGGCTTGGAAACAAACTTACGAAAGTCCACGGCCAATGCGAAAAGCAAGAAAATGAAGGTATGATATGCTGTACAACTGATCGAGTGCCTCAGTTGCCGACGCTTTGGACTTCTGTGAACAAAAGGTAAAGCTGCCGCAATTTAAGGGTGCCAGCACGATATCTACGTTTATTACAACTTTTGATGGCTTGTTTGACATCTTAAACTCCTGGAACCCGCTGGCAAGGTCGTACAAAGCGCCCCTTCGGCAGGGGAACAAAGTATTCTGGAAGTTGTTTTTTTTTTGTGTGTGTGGAGACTCGAGCGTACATAAACGGGCAGTGACAGAAGGACTGAAAAAAAAAACGGATTTATTGGTTTTTGGATACGCATGGCAAGCACGAAAGAATGTTTGACAGACTTGTCAGCCAGGGTCAGCTGAAATATTTACTGACACAAAAACTCTGTCAAGACTATGCCGAAAACTTCTTTGAATCAATATGTGGATGAGGCGGCCATAACAACAACCCAACAGCTTCGCAGTTTATGGCTGCATTCAAGCGTCTATTGGTTCAGACGGAAGTCAGGTCTTCAAGTTCTGGACACTGCTCCCAAGATGTTCTCTCCGTATTGAATGCAACGACTCCTGCAGCCATGGTAGATCCAGAAGCAATCTCACTGACATGCGCAAGGCCCCAGTCCTGCAGCCCGATGACCACGACAATACTCATCGCATTGACTAGCCCGAAAGCTTTTCTGCTTTTGTCGGTTCCGTGGTGCCATACATAAAAGGCTTCATTGTTCGAAAGGTCGAACTGCAACTACCTGTGAAGAGTGCATAGCAGTTATGCACTCAGATGAGCTGACACCTTTGATTAAATGTAAGAGGCGAGGTGGTCTTGTTTCACCATCGCGAGATGTCATTAGCCCCTGTAAAGAAGTCGAGGACTGAGGCGGCTACAGGCTGAATGTGATTCCATCACAATGGTGAAGTCAAGAGCAAAACACCTCATCCTGAAAGTTCTATGAGCTTCCTCCGAGAATAACTGGTTCCATAAACTAGAGCAGCACGTCATAGACTTTGATACGCTTGATAATCAGGTTTACAGTTTGTGCAGGCATATCGCCGAACAATACGTAAAAGTTAGGATACAACACATGACGAAGAAAAAAAAAGAGAATCGGTTAAAAGTAAGGTGGGACCACTTTTGACTAGGGCAATAATTTTCAACCACCAGTAGGGCACCTATGTTTTCGACTATGTGTTTGCTTTAGGCATCGCTATTTGATGCATATGCACTTTAATTGAGTTCTCTACATGCCACTTGGCTGCGTACAAGTCGCAATAAACATTTACAACCAGAATTACTTGCTTTAGTTGCTTTATAAACACACGAGACACTTCACCCGCAGCACGATGAAGCATAAATTTGCAGCGCTCGGCTCTTTTCTGCCACTGGCAACGTGGCCGCCGCACGCTCGGCGTGGCTTCACTCTCTCCCGTAGCGGCGCATAGGCGGCTTCCACTCCAGCAAGTTTTATGTATCCTCCTTGTGTGCCACGCCCCAAGCCATTGTGAACGCCGCCATGTTGGATTTTTCGTCGGCTTGGCTAAGCTTGGTCTTCAGATGCCTTTCCTGCCTCCGAGATTGGAATGCTCACGCCATATTTTAAGTTTCAGAGGCCGTGTTTGCTTTTTAAAAGACGCGGTGATGGATGCCGTTTTTTTCGTCTTCGGTCAGCACTATCGTCATCACATCACACGGGGAGGAGGCGAAAGAAGGATTCTTTTATTGTCGTTGCAGCTTTTTTCAGTCGCCATTCTGCACGTGATGTGTCGCGTAGCGTCGAGACGTTGTGTGCTTCGCAGCGGCTATCTGCGGCATCGAATTTTGTGTTCTCGGTGCCATGGCTCCGCTATCTGTGCCATCGCGGGAGCCAGGTGGTGTGAAGAAGCGTGGGAAGTATACGACCCTGACGATGGAGAAGAAAGCTGCCATAATCAAGCTAATAGAGAGTGGATGTTCGCAGCTAGATGTCGCCGGATAACGGTCGACGCCGGATGGCGGTCGGCGGCGGAGATCGCCAACGCGGTGACAATTTTGTCGAGCGTTTACGGCGACGATGTCACCTTGGCGCAAATACGGGCAAACCAAATTGCCTTAAAGCGTAGTTTGAGGCAAGGCAGCATCAAGGACTTTTTTAAACCTGCCTGATGCAATAAACTTTAAATTTTTGGCGAAAACGAATTTTTCGGACTGTTCGATTTTTCGTACTTTTTTTCGGTCCCCGCCAGGTCCGAAAAATCGGTCGGCGACTGTATATACAGTTGCCATCAAAGTTTTATGGCAGTCCTAAGCATGCATTCTTATCATATGTATGTAGTAACACTCAGAAAGACTTGAAGCAAAAATATCATGGGGAATATTATTTGTTGTGGTAAGGCTCTCTCTCTCTCTTTTTTGCATTGTTTTCTGTGGGTGGTTGGGGCATGAATTTTTGTTGCTGTTGTTGTGGCCAAAATTTATTTGTTTCAGTGCTTTTTATAATGGGATTCAGCTGTATTTTTTAAAATCATTTTGATTTTGTACATGAAAGAGGGGGGGAGGGTATTCTCTGGCCAGGATGAAGCAGACTAGGAGGATGTATTTTTTTTTTTTTTTTCATTTTCCATGGGGCGTAAAAAATTACCGTGAAGGTAAGGTCAAAGAGTCAAGCTTATAAAATGAGAAATGGTATTTCGTAGGGCTGGACACTTTTCTTATAATACTGATGTGTACAGTTAGTTGAAATTGAAGATGTGCGTATAAAACAGTTTCACCTTTTTTGCACCTGCGTATCTCTTGCAATCTAAACATGGACATAAAATTACCACATGTGTGTGCTTCTGTGGGCATGCATTGAGGCTGAAGTGCCAGCCAGCCTAAATGTGTGCATGTGTTCTCGTAACAGTATGAGCGGGAGGTGGCCCAGCTGAAACGGCTGATGGGCCAGCTGCAGCGCAAGCTCAGTTTAGCCGAGACCCAGCTACAACAGCAGCAGCAACACCCACTCTCGGCAACACTTGGTGGTGAGAGCACAGAGGAGCAGCAGCAGCGTCGACAGGAGAAGGACTTGCAGATGAAGAGCATCATCACCAGGTACATACACAGTTGCCTGTACATTTGCTAGAAGTAAGCTGCGCCTGCAGCTTTTACTGCAAGTAAAGCTCTGAGCTTACGATTCTGTGTTAGCTTTGCTCGTTTTTCCGTCCACACAACCTTTTGCTGCGCAGTCATCATCAAGCCCTTCAATTTCATCTTCCCTTCCACCCAACATTACCATTTTTATATTTGCAAAGTGCAGGATATTCTGAGGGGAAAAGGGGGGCAAATTAATTAGAATATTTTGTTTTCAACTTTTTGCAAGACTGTTTCTCTTGCAGTATTTTCTCACGTCATCCCTCTCTTAAACAGGGAAATATAGTTACTGATACAAGCTAAAGTTCGTTCATATATATATTTGTGTAACAAAAATGGTTTTTTTACATTGCTGTATTATGTTGCAACATGTATGAAACCAAGTTATTAATGAGCATAAGAATTTAACAACTCAGTACACCTTATTTAGTCTGGTAGAGCAGTGGTTCTCAAATGGGGGTCCGCGAAACCATTTCTATGATCCGCGAAACTCTCACCCGCATTTTTCTTTAAGCGTGACTATGCCACACATTGATAAACTGTCCAAAATGAAGTGATGTGGCACATTTATTTCATGTTTTTTGGTAGCAATAAAACGTAGAGTTGTGCGAATATTCGAATAATAATATTCAAATAGTAGAGTATTCACTTCAATTCGAATTTAAATTATTAAAAATTTCGAAGTATTCGCAATGAACAGATATGTGTATATTAATCCGCATGTAACGGCTTGTAAAAGTAGTTTTGCTGCAGTGTCGGAGTGCTAAACCATGAAAGCACCCATTTAGGGGAAATCCGCTTCGCCGCAAAGCGCCCCTGCAAATTTAAAGGAGCCCTGCAACATTTTTTTAGCATAGTCGGAAAACGCTCCCGATCGGTAGTCGAGGCTTCCGAGAATACGCGAGCCAAATATTATGGCACAGCACGTGACCTGCGATTCACAGTAAATTCTCAAAGCCAGCCAAAAATTGCTCTTTTCTCTCGGCAAATGACACCACAAGCTCAGAAATCACTCGTCAAAGCTATTGCATCAGCCAGATTTAACATGGCTCACTTGGTCGTCACTGGAACTGCAGCGGGAGGCTGCGGCATGTCTAGACGTGTGGGCGCGATCACACTGAAAAGCTGCATAATTTAGGAAAAAAAGAAAAAAATGAGGTGCTCAAGGTCACAAGGTGCGTGTGGCGTATTTTCTTTCGCCGTGCCATTCCTCCCTGCTTAGATTGCAGCGTGTGACTAATTTTCGGAACTCCGCCACTTCTGAAAATTTTGCGGTGGTAAATTTTTGAGGCAACAAGCTTCTTTACTGGCTCCATGGCTACTTGAAAAAGTGTTGCAGGGCCCCTTTAAATTAACATGTTATTCTCAAATTAATTTATAAATTTATTAAGCTTAAAAGCTTATGACAATTTATATGCTTTAAGTATAATGAAATTTAAAATTTTACCTATTTTACAGGTTATCATTCGCATCCTACTGAAACTCATATCCCCGCTACTACTCAAAGTTGTTTCGACTTCCTGTGAAAGAAAAAAAAAAAAGACATTTGCATAGAGGCTTTATTTCAATATAAAAATATATTGTGCTGGTTAGTTAGGTCATGATAAATATGCCCATTTTTTCTTTTTATGTCATATATACTATTCAAATTCAATTCAAAATTTTTAGACCAAAATCACTATTTGCTTCGAATCCGTTTTGAAACCTAAAATGCTCTATTCGCACAAGCCTAATAAAAGGCATCTGTTTCACGCTTCAGTTGTATTAATTTACCTACGTACCCCCCTCCCGCTTCTCCTTCGTCTGCTCCGCTGCGAGGGGTCTCCCATCACTTCCACCAGTCCCCAAGGGGTCCCCAACACATCCATGGCTGAGAACCACTGTGGTAGAGAATAAAAAATAAACTTAAAAGCATGGGTGCTTAGAGGCATGGGTGCAGTTTCATGTATTCCTGATATGTGGCACTTGCCAAACATAAGTTGAAAAACGGGCGCATTTTAAGCATACTGGCAATGTACGTTTTTGATCCTAAACGGCCGCTCGACTCAGCGCACACACCTGCACACATGTGGTACATAAATCGTCCGGGCATGGCATGACCATAAACAGTGCGCTTCAAGCAAATCACTTGGGATTGTTTGTACCACATCACAGTAAATACCACATTTCAGTGAAGTGGTGCAGGTTTTTGTTCATTACTGGATCGCTGTACAAATGGCATACATACGTGCATCGAAAAGAGCTGGATAAGTTGTCGGCCTTGACACTAGGTTCCTCGTTGGTTTCGAAATGCCTTTTCATCACCACCACAATTTTTTTCACATCAAAAGGAAAAAAAGGCCTTGTAGTCTGTACTTTATGCTACATGTACTGTAGCTTCACACTTATTTCTCTGTTAGTAGTGGCAGCAAGCATAACATTCTACTTATTGTCTAGTTCAAATCCATGCTACCAGTTAGTGTATAATTGTGCCGAATTTTCGGGCAATTACGCTTTAGTAAGGTTTTACTATATCGCAGTGAAGAAAACTAATAGCATGGAGCATTATTGCTCAGTAAAGCATGCTACTTGCATCATTTGTTATTAAAAAAAGGGGGGCATCGCCATGCTTTTTGAAGAATAAGAAAGCTAGTCTAGTACATTAATTTCATGAGAAGGCATTGATTAAACATGAACACACTTAAACCTCATTATAACAAAGTTGCATATTACGTAAAATTAAGTTCACTGTTTCCAAAAATTTGTTGAAAAGGTTTAATCCTACCACTTTGTTTATTGCAAGACTTCTCACTTTTCACTTACTTCGTTACATTTCATTATTCTGGGTTCGTTGTATCAAGGTTTTAGTGTAGTACTAAAGTAACATTTACTTGTTAGCATGAAATTGGAGAATGTAACTTGCAAATTGCTCCTCTTCGTCATCTCAAGAGTCCGAGACGCAGCAAATGTTTGCATAAGCATCACATGTATGCATATATTGTACTTCTAATTATCAATATATTGAATAATTTTACCACTTCCTTTGAGCTCACTATATCTGCGTCCAAATGTATCTTTTTCTTGTTTAATGTCGTCATATTTGTGTTGATACATATGTGTGATTCAAAGATCTATTTTTTAAAGAAATATACTTCCTGGGTGCACAGGGAACATTTAAGAAGGAAGATAGAGTAGAGAGATGGGACAGAGCGCACACTTACAATCAATTTTATTGCACAAATGGCGAGAATATTCAGTCCAGCCCGCTTATAACGAACCTGAGCGTGACACGGCATTTGTTCGCTGTATCCCAAAGCTCGTAGTAAATGAAACACATCTGTTAAAAAAAGTTGCGAGTGAAAACACAAACTTTTTTGCCCCAAAACGTCCGTGATACACGTGTTTCGAAGAGCAGAAGTGATAAGGGTGGTCTCGAGTTCATTTAAAACGGCAGAGTGCTCGTTCGCCGAGGCCCGTGGCATAAGCTGCGTGAGACACTGGCTCCAAAGTATCGTCATTCTCGCAATCCTATTCCTCCCAATCGCTCTCGCCACGTACTTCATTCACAATGCCCCAATCCGTGCACGGTTCCGCAGTGTTGGCATTATCATCGGCCGTAATTAAACCATCGCAACAGATGTCCCACCCGCTCTCCCAGGTTGGAGTCGACGGCGCGCTGCCACAAATCGCCGCCGCAGTTCGCAAGCTTCAGGCTCGGCATCGCGCCCAACGTCGACGAAGTTGCCCTCGCGAAAACAGTTTCGCGCGCATGGAGTCGTCACCGCCGCACACGGAATATTCACCATCTCCACAGCTGAATACTGCGACGCCCGAAGCGACAAGTTAGTGGCCAGGTGGTCAACAGCTATGAGCAAGCGCTCCGCAACGCAGCACCTAACGCACGGATTACGCTCAAGCCAAGCAGTCACACTTTCGACGTTTCGCTGAGCGGCAGGAAAAAGCGTGCTAGTCCTCCGGTCGGCCATCATGACCACACACGCACACCAAGAGCGAGCAAGACGCGCACACGCGACACACATGCCAGAACACTTGGAACAGCTCTGGGCCCGTTTCCAGTCAGAAAACAAAACTAATTCGAGCCAGCGTGGTGGGCAAGGAGTTGCGATAAAAAGAGGGGAGGATGCGGCGGGAGGGCGACCTTGAAAACGAAAACACACGGGAAAGAGGCAGGTTGGGTAGCTTGCTTGAAAGGTCCGCGAAACTCGCACGTAGCAAAAAAACTTGGAAAGAGTGCCTGCGCGCGCAGAAGCATAGTCGCCTGGATCGGTGCGTGCGGCGGTGTTCAAAGAATCGGCGGCCGTGGTAAAAAAATTCTTTTGCTGTGCCGGCGGGTTTGTGCAGCCTCACAAACTTCTATATTTCGCGATTCCTTCCACGCAAATTAACAGCCGTTCTCGCGCTTCTGTACGCACGCGGAAGGCATGCTGAGCCCAGTGGGAAGTGAGCAAGAACAAGTCCTAAACTTGAAACGAATTGCAAATTATCAGAGCCGGTGGGGTAGCGTACGCTCGTGCACTAGACGGAAACTATCGGATACAGTCGGTGGCCGATGATGTTGGCAAATGGTCTGGTCACTCCAGGCCGACGACGCCAATGACAGTACCAGCGACCAAAAAAAAAGGGTAGATGGCCGACCGGTCTTCAAAAGATCGTTGGCAGTGTGGAAACACGGGCCTTGTCTGGCGATGCGGGGTGCTCAGAGTAGCGGGGGGACAAAGGACGGAGGGGTGCGTAACAAAAACCAGTCGGGGCATGGAGGAAGAAAACATCTTTCCTTCCTCCATGGGTTGGGGAGAGCGGCAACTAGAGGGTCGCGGAGGCAGGGTTGGCGTTTAACAACAGAATGTATGGGCATCTCGCCGATGCCTGATCAGTGGTCAAAATTGGTTTCCCGGATAGTCTGCAGACCGCTGACTCCGTTCGCTGTAACCGGTCAGGGCGCTCAGAGACGGTCGTTGTAA